AAGCTTTCCAATTCATTTCTTTCTCAGGCCATTCTGTTGGGAGATGCTGCATCAGTCATTGCAATCTGCCTGAAAGGCACCCTCTTTAAGTCTCACCATTATGTGCGCTGTATTTTTCTCAGCTAGTCTTTTTTTTTTTAACTTTTTATTTTGTATCGGGGTATAGCTGATTAGCAATGTTGTGATAGTTTCAGGTACACCATGAAGGCCCTCAATCATACATATACACGTATCCATCCTCCCCAAACTCCCCTCCCATCCAGGCTGCCACGTGACATTGAGCAGAGTTCCCTGTTCTCAGCCAGTCTTCTTGAAGAAAAGAAAGTGAAAGTTGCTCAGTCATGTCCGACTCTTTGCAACCCCACGGACTGCACAGTCCATGGAATTCTCCAGGCCAGAATACTGGAGTGGGTAGCCTTTCCCTTCTCCAGGGCATCTCCCCAACCCAGGGATCGAACCCGGGTCTCCTGCATTGCAGGCGGATTCTTTACCAGCTGAGCCACAAGGGAAGCCCTCTTGAAGAAAGGGGTCATGGAAAGGCGTTAGCGTCACTTCCCACTGCTTTTGCAGCGTGTTCATTTCCTCCCGCCGCGGAACAGATGATCACAAAGTTGTTGGTGTGAGCAGGATACAGGGAGAAGGTCAGTGCTGCAGCTCAGGTGTCTGGGGCAGAAGCCAGGGTCCGCAGGGTCAGTTCCTTCTGGAAGGTCGAGGGGACGGAGGGTCCACTGCCTTGCCTTCTCCTGGTTCTGCCCTTCCTTGATGCCTGCTCCCTCGTCCCATCACCTCCTCTGTCTCCTTCACCCCCTTCTCTCACTCTGACCCCTGCTTTTTCCTTCCAGTTGTTTAGTCACTCAGTCCTGTCCCAATCTTCTGCTTCCCCAAGGACTGCAGCCCGCCAGGCTCCTCTGTCCTTGGGGATGCTCCAGGCAAGAAGACTGGACTGGGTTGCCACGCCCTCCTCCAGGGGATCTTCCCGACCCAGGGATCGGACCTCCATCCTCTGTGTTGGCAGGCTGATTTTTCCCCATTGAGCCACCTGCTGAAGGAGGCCCCCTCCTCCTTTTAAGGACCTTATAATTCCTCTGGCCTCACCCGGATGAACCGGGGACATCTCCCCATCCCATGACCCTTCGTTTGATCACGTCTGCGTTGTCCACGTAAAGTTCTCTGCCAGGGGAAGCTGTGTGTTCTCAGGAATTCTGGAAGTACACAAGTGGATGGCTTTGTGGTGTGTATGTGTATGTTTGGCTGGGGGGTGGAGTCGTTAAAAAAAAAGCATCAACTGATGCTTTTGAACTGTGGTGTTGGAGAAGACTCTTGAGATTCCCTGGTACTGCAACGAGATCGAGCCAGTCCATCCTAAAGGAGGTCAGTCCTTTGTTCATTGGAAGTGTTCATTGGAAGGACTGATGCTGAAGCTGAAACTCTAATCCTTTGGTCATCTGATGTGAAGAGCTAACTTATTGGGAAATACCCTGATGCTGGGAGAGATTGGAGGCAGGAGGAGAAGGGGATGACAGAGGATGAGATGGTTGGATGGCGTCACTGACTCAATGGATATGGGTTTGGGTGGACTCCAGGAGTTGGTGATGGACAGGGAGGCCTGGCATGCTGCAGTCCATGGGGTCCCAAAGAGTCGGACACGACTGACCGACTGAACTGAATTGAACTGAATTGGAGTCATTCAACCTACCACAGGTTGAAGTCTGCACTCTTATGAGTGTTAGGAGATGAGCCTCAACTCTCGCCTTCAGTGATGTCTGCCACACCCATCTCCTTCCCTGGCATGGTCTCTCCTCCATTTGTCTCTCTCTCTCTCTCATTTTGGCTGCACCTCCTGGCATGTGAGATCTTAGTTCCTGAGCCAGGGATGGAACCTCTGCCCGCTGCAGTGGAAACCTGGGGTCCTCACTCCGGGACCCCCAGAGAAGTCTCCTCCTCCATCTCTTATATAACATTCTCGTTCCTTTTTTTTTTTTTTTGCCCTTCCTTCTTAGCATCCTCTTCACTTCCATGCCACCTGCTCCCACCCCTTCCTTCTCTTTGACTCTTTGCGGCCCCATGGACTGCAGCACGCCAGGCCTCCCTGTCCATCACCAACTCCTGGAGTCCACTCAAACTCATGTCCATTGAGTCAGTGATGCCATCCAACCATCTCAATCTCTGTCGTCTACTTCTCCTCCTGACCTCAATCTTTCCCAGCATCAGGGTCTTTTCCAATGAGTCAGCTCTTTGCATCAGGTGGCCAAAGGACTGGAGTTTCAGCATCTGTCCTTCCAATGAATGCTCAGTGTTGATTTCCTTTAGGCTTGAGTGGTTCAATCTCCTTGCAGTCCGCGGGACTCTCAAGAGTCTTCTCCAGCTTCACAATTTGAAAGCATCAATTCTTCAGCGCTCAGCTTTCTTAATGGTCCAACTCTCACATCCGTACATGACTACTGGAAAAATCATAGCTTCCCATAGATGGACCTTTGTCAGCACAGTGACGTCTGTGCTTTCTAATGCGCCATTTAGGGTATTGTTTATGGGTTTGCATAGAGTTGGAGATGACTGAGTGACTAACGCTTTCATTTTTCCTTCCTTTGCCGACCTTCCTGGGGAGCTAGGAAAAAAATCCCATTCAGCCTTCTGACTCCATTCCACCCACACATCCCTTCTCAGGGAAGCCTTCCTCCGCCTATAAAATTCCTTATTTCACAGCATCTCATGCTAACTGGAGCCCTCCCTGTTCACTGGAATGTCTCACTTCTCTCCCAGGCTAAACATTCGAGTATCAGACACATTTTGTGTTACTATAATCACCACGTCATCTCTGACAGTGCTTATGCACAGTCAAACCTTTTTTAATAGAATTAATGTTATGATAAATTATGATAAGCTTATATATTATATTATAAGCTTGTAACATAATTATAATAAATTATAATAATGTTACCATAAAAATACGCATTAGTAGCAGTGAAGGCTACGTCTAGAGCAGTGGTCCCCGACCTTTTGGTACCGAGCTCCGGTTTCATGGAAGACAGTTTTCCCAGAGACCAGGAGTGGGGGGTGGTAATGGAATGATTCAAGTGTATTGTCTTAATTGTGCTATTTATCTCTACTATTATTGCATCAGGTCCAGCTCAGGTCATGAGACATTAGATCCCACATGTTGGGGACCCCAGGTTTAGAGGTATATCTCCCTACTTTACCATCAGTCTCTCTTGTACTTGCTTGTTCATTTCCCTAGTGTGTGTACGTTGGGTGGTGGTTTTGTCGCTAAATCGCGTCCAGCTCTTGCGACCCCATAGACTGGAGCCTGCCAGGCTCCTCTGTCCATGGGATTCTCCAGGCAAGAATACTGGAGTGGGTTGCCATTTCCTCCTCCAGGGGATCTTCCCGACCCAGGGATCGAACCCAGGTCTCCCGCGTGGCAAGCTGTTTCTCTGCTGTCTGAGCTGTGAGGGAACGTCTGTGTGATAATGGGGCTTCCCTGGTGGCACTAGTGGTCATGAACCCACCTACCAGTGAGGAGATACAGGAGCCACGGGTTCGATCCCTGGGTCCGGAAGATCCCCTGGAGGAGAAAGTGGTCACCCATTCCAGTATTCTTGCCTGGAGAATCCCATGGAGCCTAGCAGGCTACAGTCCAAAGGGTCACAAGAGAGTCGACTAAACAATGACAAAGTCAGAATGGGTGGCTGAAGAAGTCAGGGATCCCTGACGGTTCCTTGTGCCGCCTGCTAGAGTTTATTCCATCTGCACAGAGCTGGCAGAAGATGGCCAATGTCCCCGGTGACCTGAGCGGTCCCCCTTCTGTTCGGTCAGACCTAATGTCCCCGAGCCTTCTTGATCTATGGATGCAGGTGAAAATAAAGTTCCCTCCTGAGCACACAGAACATTTGTCTCTGTCTCTCTGAAGAGACAGGCTAAATATTGCTGTCTTCTGATGCAATATTGTTTTCCTCCAAGAGGCGCTCAGCCTTCACTTAAAAGAAAAATGTTGGCCGGGCTGGTGGAAATGAACTGATAACCTTGTTTGGCGGGGCGGGGGGTGGGGGTGGGGGACAGGACTTCTGCTGCAGGGTAGCTACTAAAGAGTAATGTTTTCAAAATAACACTGAGAGATGAAAGTGAACGTTAAAAAAAAAAATGCTGTCAGCGATTTAGACCTTCTCAAGGTCACGGGGAGAATTGCTTAACTGGAGTTATTGCTACTCTGATCTCATATATATATATATATTTTTTTTTTTTTTCTTGAGAAATGGCCTAGCAAAGATTTATTTTTTCTCTCTCTCTCTTTTTAAACCCAGTTCTGTTGCTTCTTTCTACATTTATAAACAGAAAAACATACCCAATGTTAATTGCAATCAACGGACACCATAGGATAGAACCTGTTCCTCTTTTGATTTGTGCACTGGTGGAGTTTTATCAAGGAAGGTTGAGTTGAAGGCTCTCTCTGTTGTGGAAATTAGTTGCTTTGTTCTGTCCAGGGGCTCTTGTTTTAATTTCTAAAGGGGATGTACTCTCTAAAGCTACATATTTAATTTTGTAAGACAAAAGGAGCTAACTTTGCTTAAAATGGGAAAGGCTTTTAGTGTCCTGAGTAACTTGTCATTTCCTGTGTGAAGGTAGCTGCCTGCAGCGTTTTAGTCATTAGGTATGTGCGTGCTAAGTCGCTTCAGTTGTGTTTGACTCTTTGCAACCCCATGGACTGTAGCTTCCAGCACTCCTCTGTCCATGGGGTTCTCCAGGCACAAATACTGGAGTGGGTTGCCATGCCCTCCTCGAGGGGATCTTCCCCACCCAGGGGTCGAACTTGCGTCTCCTGCATTGGCAGGCAGGTTCTCTTACCCCTGGGAAGAACCCCTGGCTCTTTTCCCCAGCACCACCTGGGAAGCTCAACTCTTAGGTGACAGAGAGAAAGAAGGAAATGTCTTTGGGAAGGCTGAAAGGTTCAGAGGGCGTGCACATCCCAGCCTTGCAAGGGAGCAACACGCCATCTCTTGCTTTACCTTCTTTGAACCTGAACTTTGCTGGCCTCCCTGGGTCTTATAATTGCTTTTTGGTCCCGAGAGGTAAGCACGTGCTCCCTCAAACGGTTGGACAGTTGAGTCTTCAAGGGCCCAGAGGTCACACTGTCTAAATCTGCCATCGGTGACCATGTTGTAATATGCTGTGAACCCAGCCGTGATCGCATTGGGACATCCAAGTCAGAGTGCTTACACCCAGTTATCAGACCACGGTGCCCCTAGTGTAGACCAGGGAATTTCTCTCCTTGTAGAGGAATGCCCTACGATTTACGCAAATGGCTCTTCTCTCAACTTTAGCCTACCGTCACCTTTTATCTAACAATTTTTTTTAATATGAATCAACTTTTGGCTGCGCTGGATCTTTGCTGCTGTTCTCAGGCTTTTCTCTAGTTTGCGGTGATCAGGGGTTGCTCTTGACTTGCGGGCCATGGGCTTCTCACTGTGGTGACCTCTTGTTTTAGTAGTTGTGGTTTGGGGCTCAGGAGTGACATCTCCTGGGCTTAACACAGGCTTGGTAGTCATAACAAACGGGCTTAATCGCTGCATGGCATGTGGGATCTTCCTGGACCAGAGATGGCACCCATGTCTCTTGCATTGGCAGGCGGATTCTTAAAACTACTGGACCACCGGGGATGTCCTACTACCGTGTTTTAAAAGATAACTGCAGAGTCACGGATGCTCACAGGAGATGGTTGACCTTAGGCATGCTCCTTTCCCGCATGTCTGGATGATGCTGTTGCTAAGATAACATGACCCGAAGCCTCCTGCTTTTACCCTTGGCTGTATGACTGTTTTAGAACCTTGGTGAGCAAAGCCTGCCTTTTTTCTTCTTTGTCATGCTATAATCAGTGGTTTGATTTTTTTTTTTTTTTTTTTAGTTATTAGCACAGGGGAGTTTTGTTAGCTCAGAACTCCAGAAGGTCAAGTTGATATTCTATTGTTGCCAGGCCCATGGAATTTAGGATTCTGCCGTTCTTGTTGTTGTTTAGTTGCTCAGTCATGTCCGACCCTTTGCGACCCCATGGACTGCGGCACGCCAGGCTTCCCTGTCCATCACCATCTCCTGGAATTTGCTCAAACCCATGTCCATCGAGTCGGTGATGCCATCCAACCATCTCATCCTCTGTTGTCCCCTTCTCCTCCCGCCTTCAGTCTTTCCCAGCATCAGGGTCTTTTTCCAAAGAGTCAGTTCTTTGCATCAGATGGCCAAAGTAATGGAGCTTTGGCTTCAGCATCAGTTCTTCCAGTGAATGTTCAGGACTGATTTCCTTTAGGATGGGCTGGTTGGATCTCCTTGCAGCCTGAGTGACTCTCAGGAGTCTTCTCCATCACCACAGTTCAAAAGCATCAATTCTTCGGTGCTTAGCTTTCTTTATAGTCCAACTCTCACATCCACATCTCCTGGATTTTAGTTAGTCTCTGGCATTTCAGTCAGTCAGCTATTTCAGCATGCACACACGTGCGTGCACACACACAGACACACCACAGACACCTACAAGTGTGACTCTTTTCTGTATAGGTGATGTAGCAGATTTGCCTTAATTATCACCAAAAAGATCTCTGATGATGATCCAGACTGGGGATGTGTAGGGCATCAGGAACCCACTCCTTTCATTTTTGCAAATATTTCTATCACAGCGTCATCAGTGAGCTTCCTGGTTACACAGACTGGCAAAACATCTTTCCACAAGGCGAATGGCAACCTCCTCAGTACCGCCTTCCGTTTTTAAGATCACAGCTGCATTGAAAGCCTTCCATGCTGGCGGTGGATTTAGGAACTCAAACTATGGAGGGATTGACTTAAAGGGAACCACTTTATATTAATGCTTTATATTAGTGCTGCCAGATATCTTGAACTTAAAATGAAGATAAGGGGCACCAGGAAATTTAAAGCTCGATCAACACATAGCTGTTTTATTGTTTCATCGTTTTGGTTTTGCTGAGTAGAATGTTACAATACTGAAGAGACTTTGTATCCTAGTGGTTGTAAATAAAGAATTTGGAAAGAAAAAAAAAAGCATAGTGTGACTTCTGATATCACCTCTACTTCCTTAGACAAGTTTCAAGTTCTTGAGAGCATCCACCTTCTTCTCTGTAAAGTGGGTTGAGAATATTTGTTCTCATCACCGTATGTGGGGTGAGAGACAGAGCCTGGCATTCAACCTGGAACTCTGTTGACATTCAGTCGATGCCTCTCAAAGAGTGATTTCACGCAGACAAAATAGTTTATTTAAAAAAAATTTTTTTTTGCAATGATATGACCATTATCTGAATTTGTCATTCTTCAGTCGCTAAGTCATGTCTGACTCTTAGGGACCCCAGGGACTGCAGCACGCCAGCCTCCCCCATCTCCTACTGTCTCCGGGAGCTTGCATACATTCGTGTCCATGGAGTTGGTGATGCCATCCAACCATCTCATCCTCTGTCGTCCCCTTCTCCTCCCGCCGTCAGTCTTTCCCGGCGTCAGGTTCTTTTTAAATGAGTCAGTTCTTCGCATCACGTGGCCAAAAGATTAGAATTTCAGCTTCAGCATCAGTCCTTCCAATGAATATTCAGGACTCACTTCCTTTAGGATAGAGTGATTTCATGGCTCTCAAGAGTCTTCTCCGGCACCACAGTTTGAAGGCATCAATTCTTTGGCGCTCAGACTTCTTTATGGTCCAGCTCTCACATCCATACATGACTACTGGAAAAACCACAGCTTTGACTAGACGGACGTTTTCGGCAAAGTGATGTCTCCGCTTTTTAAAAAGCTGCCTAGGTCTGTCACATGTTTCTTTCCAAGGAGCAAGTGTCTATTTATCTTATGGCTGCCTTTGCTGTCTGCAGTGATTTTGGAGCCCAAGAAAATAAAATCTGTCACTGCTTCCACTTTTTCCCCTTCCGTTTGCCATGATGTGATTAAATTCAGACTTCTTTCTCAGAGCTGTTTTAGATTCACAGCAAACATGAGAGGGAGGTCCAGGCAGTTTCCATTCGCTCCCTGGCCCTGTTCATGTTCCAGCCCCACTATTATGAACACCTCTCACCTCCACCCCCAGAGTGGGGTATGTGTATATACATATATATTTAACTAAGGAATAACCAACGTTGTCTCATGGTCACCACCCAAAGGCCATTCTTTGCATTGGAGTTCACTCTGGGTCTTCTGCATCCTGTGGGTGTGGACAAGCATGTAACAACATGGATCCATCGTTGGAGTGTTGTGAAGAGTCTTTTCAATGACCTTAAGTTTCTGTACATCACCCTTCCCACCACCCCAGTCCTGGCAACCACTGATGCTTTTACTGCCTCTACAACGCTGCCTTTACCAGAACATCACCTGCTTGGTGATGTTGAAATCCCTGCTTGAAATCCCACATTCTGTAGCCTTTTCAGATCAGCTTGTTTCACGGAGTGAAATCCATGGATTGGCGGTTCATCCATCTTTTTCATAGCCCAGTAGCTCAGTTCTTCTTTATCATTGAATACTCTTCCAGTTATCTGGATTGACCGTAGTTTATTTATCCATCCGGCTGCTGGGGAATATCTCGGTCTCTTCCAAGTTTCGACCATGCTCGCTAGAGATACTAGAAACATCCACGTGTGGATTTTTGTGTGGCTACAAGTTTTCAGCTCCTTTGGGTAATTACTCAGGAGTGTGATTGCTGGAATCTACTATATTTGTCACATCCTATGCAAGGGAAGACTCTGGATTTTCTTCTTGAATACCAAAACAGTGGTATGCCTCAGGAATGACAACACACTTGGCAAAATTAGGCTTCCAAATTCAGTGGCGATGTGTTTGCCAAAGGGATTAATCACACCTATTTTTAGGATAGCGTTTCTGGCAGGGGAAGCAAGCAAAGGGAGGAAGCATTTGAAAATGCCCACTTCTCCACGGACCAGCCCATCCTAAAGGAAATCAACCCTGGATATTCATTGGCAGGACTGATGCTGAAGCTGAAGCTCCAAAATGTTGGCCACCTGATGTGAGGAGCCAGCTCACTGAACAAGACCCTGCTGCTGGGAAAGATTGAGGGCAGGAGGAGAAGGGGATGACAGAGGATGAGATGGTTAGATGGCATCACCAACTCAATGGACATGAGTTTGAGCAAACTCCAGGAGATAGTGAAGCACAGGCAAGTCTGGCATGCTGCAGTCCACAGGGTCACAAAGAGTCAAACATGGCTTAACGAGTGAACAATTTCTCCCCAGATCAGCTTACTGATGCCAGTCCCTTGGACAAAGCTCGTATATGAGATGATCTACCTTTATAAACAGCCATGCTTCCGTAGCAAAGCTCTACCTCTGAGAACTTAAAAGAATTAGACAAATCTAATATATCACTGATGCTCCACAAGTTATATCTGATCCCCTGTCCTCTCTCTTCTTTTCTGTAAATTGCAAATTTTTTGTTTCCACATTATCACAGACTTTCCCCACCAAAGCTTCTCTCCTGGGGAAAATGGTTGGGTTTAATTTTCTGTATATCTAATCCTAAAATTGGAAAGTTAATCCCACAGTACTGTTTAGATAAGCTATTGGGTTTTCTTTGGCAAAGTCAAGAATGTGGAAATGGTCATATATTGCTGATGTGTTTTGTATAAAAGACAAAACTGTAGGAGATTGTCCGTCATTCTGAACAGTTTCTTGCATGGCTGCAAAGTAGCTATATGGCATTCTTCTGCTTTGATTATTGTTGAGTCCTTTAGTCATGTCCAACTCTTTGCGACCCCATGGTCTGTAGCCTGCCAGGCTCCTTTGTCCATGGGCCTTCCCAGACAAGAATACTGGAGTGGGTTGCCATTTCCTCCTCCAGGGGATCTTCCTGACCCAGGGATCGAACCCATGTCTCCTGAATTGGCAGGTGGATTTTTTACTATCTGAGCCAGCAAAAGAGGCATAAAAGTCTTGCAGGAGGCTTCCCAGGTGGTGCAGTTGCCAAAGAGTCCACCTGTCATTGCAGGAGACCCACAAGATGCAAGTTTGATCCCTGGGTCAGGACGATCCCCTGGAGGAGGACATGGAAACCCACTCCAGTACTCTTGCTTGGGAAATCCATGGACAGAGTAGCCTGGTGGGGTATAGCCTTTGGAGTGAAACATGACCGAGTGACTAAGCACACATGCAAATGTCTTATAAATAAGTTCTTTCCCCATCACTGAAAGATCTAAATGTCCATGCC